GTGGGAAGTATATGGGTTAAGAACTGACTCAAATTAGATGAGCAAACGGTCGGAATTTTCGTAACAATAGCAAGAGAATCCTCCACCGAGAGAATGGAACCGGTCAAGTACGCTCTCCGTTTATCTTCATTCTCTGCTTCAGTACATAAGATTCGGTGTGTATACATACACAATCTTCGTTGTGTTGCCCGAATTATGAAAGACTGTTCACTGTCGATCTGAATCGTGCATCGCAATTGAAGATCAGTAATCAGAATCAATAGATGATTGAAGTGACAGATCGAGGCTCATGATTCCGTAACCTGACTTTTTCGTGTGCTGTTGAGTTTTGAGTGAGCACGATTGAGTACGCTCATTGCTTGACACTCACGTCTCTGATAAGCTGCGGAACATGATTCTACATGTAGCCTATCATAGCTCCGTCTCCATATGCGTATCAACAGGCTGTACCAAGTACAGAGATCATACCGATTTCCTCACTTTCAACACAAGGAGTTCTGAATTACTACGAATAGCCAACATAATTCTACGTATAACCACCGCAAGCAGGTACTACCAACACGTCTCAACACGAGGGCATATGACCGTTACAGGTACTGAGCAGTATCCAATGCAGTACATGAGTATCGTGAGTATCCTCATACTAATGAGGAGATTAGCAGGATCGATAGGAACAAAATAGACAAAGTCGGAATGCGGCTTCGATGACTCCAACTGCTACGATCACTAATAGCAGGAAAAATGGAACACATCTCACAAATAAGAGACGTGTGACAGCTACCATGCCCTTCTACAGAAATATACAAGAAAGATTCAGAAGCAGCATACTAACTGGTTATCATAGAATGAGACCATCGATAACGCCTATTTCAAAAAGACGACTGCGTTTCCTAATTGAGAATCTCGTGAAGATAGTCTCTCAGAGGGACGAATTGGGAAGTCTGGGGGTTGGGCCATGACAGCGACTTGCACACCATCAACTGTTCACTCAGCCATCTATTGCAATACCATCCAGCAAGTTCCGCCTGATACAGGAAACTCCACAAATGTCACAAATGAGCAGCATCGACACCCACCTTATTGAAGGGGCCTTGAATATTACCAACATCATCGATATAATACCTAGAAAACACAACGTCGAAACTCCTCATAACGAGAATTAAACTCACCATATGAGCCCTGCATGCTGTTGTTGTTGCTGCTGCTGTTGGAACATGGCATTCTGCTGAGCAGCGGCAGCTGCAGCAGCAGCGTGTTGTTGCTGCTGTTGCTGAGCAGCTTGATGCTGAGCTTGTTGTTGTTGCATGTGAGCATTGGCCATCTGCTGCTGTTGTTGTTGGTAATAATACCTACACTCGATCAGTTACCCACACGCCCAACTGCCCTCGCCTCACTGTTGATATTGCTGTTGTTGTTGTTGCTGCTGCTGCTGCTGTTGCTGCAACGAGTGTTGCCTCTGCAGCTGCTGTTGTTGCTGCCACATCGCAACACTAGCACCATATGCCTGTTGCTGAGCCGCCATTTGCGGAGCCCTGAGGAATCGCCTCGCTCTCTACCGCCTCGAATCCTCCCTCGCCTACATCTGCATTATCTGCGATGAGCGTCGCATTTGGTCTGCAGCTACCCCCGCGGGGACCGCCGCTTCCGGTCTACCCGCATCGGGTGTAGCCACAGCGGCAGCAGCTACCTCAGCGTCAGCCGACGGTGATGGTGTGGTAGACGGGGAAACTAAAACCACTAATTCCAGTAGAACAGGACTGTTCACCACCCACCAGCACGAGGGCCCGCACCAAGCTCAGGACCAGCCGTAGCGTGGGATGGCCTACAATGACGAGATAAAACTTCAGATGCTGAACTGGCATTCGAGCTTACTGCTTATTGATGATGCGAATGATCTCATCGTGACAGTTGCCAATGTCCGTTTCCTTCGACTCGCCCGTTACCAACAGATAGTGACCGTAATCACCCTAAAAGCAATCAAAATCGCGAATGCCTTCCAACGTATCAACTCTACCTCATAGGAGTTCTTCACAACCCTAACTTCAACATCATACCTGTTATGCAACTGTTGCACTACTTCCTCACTCAATGTTGTCACTGAAGTAAACCACACATACACCTTCCTACCAATCAACTAACCCTAGACTTACATGCCGTGTCCGGGATGCCCATCACAACATTCTTTGCTGTGAACGAGTCCAACAAGCGGGACACAGCATCCTGGAATACACCACAAGCACGGTATCACACGGCATCAACCATTTTCGATTACCTTCATTCGGCCCAAGAACTGCTCCGTGCCCCGCAAGTGCAGAGTTACAGTCCCATAAGCATCCTTAGTGAAGTCGACACTACCCGTATTCGACAGCGGACCATTCTCCCCTAACAAAGTAGCATCATGACAAGGACGGGGGTTCGATCCCCAGTGAGGGTATTTTTACCATCTTCCGGTCCAGGACTCGACCTGA